TATATATATATATTTGAACACATGTCAGATATTCAAAACACAACACATCCAAAATTGAATTCAGTGATGCCATCTCAATGTCACTCCAAACCAGCAAACTCTTCTATTCTCCCTATCTCAAAAGTCATCCAAATCAAGAAACAAAGAACTATACAGATTTCATAGTAATGAGCTCACAATATTTCCTCTGGAAAGTGTTCCCTAACTTCCTAGATAACTGCGTTGGCAGTTCTCCAAAATATTGTATTTGCTCAGTTACAAAGGATCTTGCTTATTTATTTATATTTTTTAAAGTTTACTAAACATATACTTTTAATGAGCAAAAGAATAAGATGTAGGCTTGTTATGGAAGGATAGTACATATAAGAAAAACTAAACAAGGAATGATATTTTCCTGAATGAGAGATATTCAGAGTTAGACAAGCTATTTGTGATCATCTAGTTGAACTACTTTTCTGTGCTTGAAAGCTCTCCATAAACATCCTGGCCTAGAGTTGTCAATTATTTTATACTGTGTTTGTAGTCTTATATTTAATTGCTTTCATACATTTAGAATTTATGTTCCTTGTGGGTAAGGATGATGATTAACAATGCCTTAAATTCCCTTAGTATATTCTTGCATGAAACAGAAAGCTAATGAAAATTTATCAATAGATTTTCACACTACAGGATAATACTATTAGAAAAAGTCAGGATGCTAATACCTTACAGTAAATGTCAAGGACTATCATCAATTTTTAAAAAATAAATAAATAAAAATAATCCTTTCACTTGAAAAGGGGTAGGTCTCACACATCTTTGGTTTTAAGAAGACATGAGGAGTGAAATGTGAATTACTCCAACTAGATAATGATTTATAAATGTATTATTTTGCTGAAATGTTATTTTAACTTTTTTTTTTTAAGTCCATTGATAGTAAATGACTCAGGATTCGAGGCCTGAATTTGCCAGAAGCAGTCCAGTTTGAATTACTCTACTCTAATGCAAATTTAATTCCAAAGCATCTGTCATATACAGCAATCTAAATTTAGAAACCCACTGGGATATGTGTTTGAGTTACATCTTATATTTTTAAAGTATTTCTTTCCCATTTAAATCATTAATTTTTAATTCTCATGTATCATATTTTATTGGGGTATTTTAAAAATCTTTAGTGCTTATAATGAAACATAAAATTATGTAAGGGATCCTTATGAAATCTATACATTTATGCTTTACTAGTGATAGAGATGCTGAAACTTAACTCCAAATAAAAGATAATTATAATAAAAATGGTCTCATTAGATAAGCTCTGACAAAGTCTAAATGGATATTTAAATACATCTTATTCTCCCAATTTTAATGTCTCATTTGTAATCCATGGAGTAAAAAAAAAATTGAGGACTATTATCTTTCTTTTCAAGTTAGCTAGTTCCTCATTACAATAATGGCAATGGCACAAAATGTTTCTCTAACAAATAAAATGCTTTTGAAAAACACAGAAATAATTTTGAAGTAGAGGCAACAGAAAATTCACCTCATTCTGTATATATCTATAAAAGAAAAGTATGTTACCTCAATATCTTAAATGAAGAACCAGAAATTAAGTGTTAAATGATTCTAAATATATATTTCTACTTGCAATTTCTAACATTTTAAACAGCTCAAAGTGAGAAAATTGAGAAAACTAAATTTATAAATTACAACAAATACAAGATAAAGTTTTTGGTTTAGTAAGAAAGTGGTGAAAAAATAACTTCAAGCAGTAGTACATGTTTATAATTTGTTCTATAAATCAGAAAAGCTCATACAATTATGAAATGTAAGCCGCACATACATGTAGCTATAAGTAGAGGGACAGGGACAGAGATAAAGTGTAAACTCTGTGGCAATGAGGTATCAAGTGTGGGGATACAGAGTACAAAGGATGTTGTAGGAAAATGTGATGTTTTAACAAAATGTTAATTAGTTATTTGTTACTGAGAGAAAATGTGATTGCAACCAACTGCCCTGTTTTTTCAAACTCTGCTGATTTCTATGTGGCCCCAGATAAGACTAAGAAATTCCTAAGAAAAAAAAGAAATCTTTAACATTGTTCTCATTTTTCTTTGAAGAGCAGTTGAGTATTTCTGAGATGATTTCAGTTTATCTACCAACAAATTGACAGATTTACTTTCATTATTTTCCTTTTAGATTCCAATTTTAAGGTGTAGTAGTTGTAATGAATGGAGCAATAACTCTGGAGTAGGTAGTCATTGTGATTGATTTGGGAGACATTTGCCAAGACAGGGACAAAGTGTCCTGGATATCTCAAGTACCCAAAATCTATCTCAAAGTATACCCCATAAGATGTATTAATAAGCTCAAGGTTGTTGTATTGCTGTAAGACGCAACTATAGGAAAACTCATGGCTTAAGAAATTGATATTAAAAAATGAGTAGAGAGTCATTAAAAAAAAACCTTAAATTCAAACAACTGCAGACCCAACCACAATGAAAGATTGCTTTGACAATCTGAATATAAATTAAACTCTAATTTATGGGCTAGAACACAAGAGTATTTTAAAACTTTATTCTACAGGTACTGTTATTTTTGACTAAAAATAAACAATTACTAACATGAAATGATCCACTTAATGTATTTGTTGATGGTTTTCCTCTAAAAACTGTATTGTTTTGCTTTGTTTCTTGATATGAAGTCCTTGGTAGAAAGAGCTACAGATGGCAAATAACAAGATGAATATTGACTTAGCAAAATGAGGTAGGGGTGGTTCAGGAGTAGAGATGTGTTTTATGTCGCCTTCCCTGTTAGAGAAGTAATGTGGGTAGTAGAGTGGCACATAAGTTTGCTGACATTTTACTCAAGCGAATGTTTCATTCAGATCTCTAAAATTATCACTTAAGCCTGCAGCTTTCTTTTCTCTGCTTGGGATCTGTAGTTTTTATGCAAGATGCTTTATCTAGACCTTAGTGAAGCTTAATGATGTTTTTACAACAGAAGGACTCACTTGTATTCCAATCAAGAGGTTGCAATGGAATATGTGAACTATCATTATAACCAATTTTCCTATCTAGTGTGTGGTTAGAGCCAACGTACAATCTTGTCAATGTACCATCTTCTTGCTCACATGCAAAAAATATTTTATTCAGACATGATTGCTCTAAAGCAGCTGAATCTATACCCTCCTGGTTCTGTTTTTCAGCATTATATCAACAGGATATAATGCTGAAATTGTTCTGAGTTGTCCCCTACCCAACAAAACAAAACCTTCCTTTACATCATAGCCCTTTATGATCTAATTCTTATCTATTTTTATTCATATAGCCAGCCTACTAGCATGAAAACAACAGCAAAGGTGTTATATCCAAGTATAGGTTTCAAACATTCTGCAATGTGGAAACTTTGAGATATTTCAGAGGAATATTAGAAAAAGAAAATTCTCAGCAAAAACATGATGACAGAGTAACAGAATTCAAGAGCTAGAACAGATTTTAGAGATTATCTGAACCAGAGTTTCTTGATCTCAGCATTGACATTTTGACACAGAGTAGTGAAAAAATTTAAAATAAGATAAGCATCTCTGAAAGGTTAAATTTCTACAGCAAAATGAATAATACCTATTTTATTTTAGATACATGCAGAATAGAATGATATAATAGTTATACCACTTGCATTTCATAAAAATATCTTCAAGTAAGTATAAGATATAAAAGACAGTGTCATTAAATCATAAATTTATCAGATTAGCTTTGGTACAATTGAGTTACTGACCTACGACTCTTAGCTAGAGTATGTACACATACTGAGTAGATATACACAGGATTGAAGAGCTATACCATACTCCCTACCTTTTTTCCATTATTATTGCTAAAATTAGTAGTAACAACAAATCTATTCTCAAATCCACCATTTAGTAACTTTCAATAGAGGGAAGTTGCTTAGCTTATCTGAGTTTCTCTTCCTTCTTTGTAAAGAAGGAAATATAACTTCCATGGAAGTTAAAAAACAAACAACAACAAATTTAAAGGAGCTTTAAATGAGCTTTGGTGTATACAGAGCTCTACTGATATGTAATCAATAAATAGCAATGACTAATAATAATATTAATCATAAAAGTAGTTTTCATCTTACAAAACTTGAATCCTTAGCTTTTAGGACTGGTTTGTGTATAATCTGGCTGAAGTTTTTTGTTTGTTTGTTTGTTTTTTCTGATCTGTCAGTTGATGACAACACAACAGAAGAATGAAAGTTTCAAAATAAAATTCTTCTGAGATCACGTACAGGTTCAGTGATGGTCATATACGATTCACTCACGCTAGCTAACTTAACCTTACAATGTGCGTGTATGTGCATATGTGTGTGTGTGTGTGTGTGTGTGTATGTGTGTATATATAAATGTGTGTGTATATATATGTATATATGTGTGTGTGTGTGTGTGTGTGTGTGTGTATACATTTCCCCAATACCACCATGAAAAAAGTGACACAGCAAGCAAGTACTCAATCTCATTGCCTGTATAACTTGCTCTTCTTGAATGTCCAGAAAGCTTTCACATATAAATACAGTTCAGAGAGAAAATTTCCCTCATTCTAAAACTTAGAAAAACATATAAGCACAAGCATGGCAAACTAACCCTTACAAACATAAACCATTCTTTCTGAAAAACTGAACTTGGTACCTCTAAATTAGCCAACTATTATGACAGTGATACATACTAGAACAATTTCCTCTATATATTCCTCTTTCTTATCTACATACTATGTCATGGATTCTGTTTTTAGCTACTCATTTTTCACACTTTCAAATGCCACTTGTGCCATAATAATTATACTTTCACCACTTGAATTTTCAATCTTAGTTGCAATGTGCAGTAATGGCACCTACCACTGTACTGTTTAATTATGTCAATGGTTAAGAATCTCTTCACCACAAGATAAGCAGAACCAGGTTCAGCTAATGAACTCCACCGAAGTACCTGCTCCAGCACGTTTTCCGTGTAGTGAAGAGGGCGCTCTGTAAAAAAAAAAAAAACCCCAAATAAAATCAAAAAGAAAATCTTGAAGATAATTTTTAGTTATAATTATAAATTTTTAAGAATCTTTTTGAAAATACCTATATGCAATCATATACATAATCATATACTCTTTACACAACAATAGTACTAGAACTACCTACAAAATACCCCAATACCTAACACTATTAAGCATATAATAAAATTTACTACATAATTCATATATAAGTAAGTGAATCTATGCAGTAACACCCGTTTGTTAACCAATTTTTTAAAAATTAGAAATGCTTTCCTTTAGATAAAATCTCAGAATTTTATCCTTTGTACAATGAGTGAGGATCTTACTATAATTTCTTTTTAACTTAGGTAACATTCTGGTTTGCTTAGGGAGAATCGCTTATTTGTATATTCCATTAACTAATTTTAAAAGGACTAATAAAATTAATTTTGTCCATTACGAAGTAATAAGAATATACGAATCATTTTTTATCCCAACAAGATCAGGATCTTATATTTTCAGATCAATACTAGTGAACAATTTACAGCTGATATTCCCACAATCAACATCAAGTTATAAAATGCAATTTCTACGGAGAACATATGAAAATAATTATAAAATACCACTGAGTAATCTCTATTCAATTGCTAGTGGAAATATCCATCAAAAACATCATGTGGCAATATACTACACATTAACTGTTGAAATAATAGACCAAAAAGCAAGAAGTTCAATGACAGCTTCAAGTTCTCTCTTTGAAGAATTTCACCCATATACATTTTGTTTTAGGCAACCATATTTCTAAATGTAGCACACATTCTTGGCATAAAGTTTTGAAAAAATACATGCAAGTATTACAATTATATTCAAAGCTTTATAAGAAAGTTTTTTTGCTGATCAAAATATGCCAATCAGTTAATAAACTGTAACAACAGAAGCATATGCTGGGAAAAAAGAAATTCAAACCTTTTCACAGAGCACACTGAAAATAGCATAATTGAAATTGCAAGAACAGAAGCTCTGACACAAAGATGTCGATTCTGCTTTCCTAAGACTGTAGCCATATATAAATCAACTCAACCATCCTAAATGGTTTCTTACCATCCTAAATGTAAAAGCACATAACACTTGAGTTTTGTTATCTTTGGTAAAGTAGTAATGTTAATGAAAATAAGAAAGAGCATGCCAATAGCTCATATGACCCATGATATTTAACTGATAATAAAATTACAAGTAAAAAAAGACGAGATACATCACATCCTCCCTAATACTGGTCTCCTCTGTGATAACCATATCATTTCAGAAGTCATCAACAATCACATGTCCACAAAAGAAACTGTCTGTTTCCAGTGTAAATGACCAGATTTTTGCATCCTTTCCAGTAAATGGAAATTTATTTCGGCATTCTGTGCTTATCAGAGCAAGTCTACTCATTATGATAATGGCAAAAAAAAAGAAAAGAAAGAAAGCCATTAAGTCATATATCCTGAAGATACAAATCTATATCTGTAGTATTATATATCCTCATGCACACAGCATAGTACTGAGTACATAAAAGATGCTCAATAAATTAATATTATACTAATAACATTATTTCTTTGGTGGCCCATAAGCTGACAGAAAAATCAGCAGACACATCAGCAAACAAAACATAATTATTTGCGAGGTCAGACAAAATCATTTGAGCTATGTCAACATTATTTTTCTTCAAATAATTTTCTAAAAGTTTGGGCAAAGCTGTAATTGCCCAGAATTTGCCAAAATTACAATTCAATTAATTAACCTTCTAATCAGTTGTCTTAAAATTGATATTAACTGTACTTAAAAGTAAAACTCTAGCCGGGCTCGGTGGCTCAGCCTGTAATCCCGCGCCTTTGGGAGGCTGAGGTGAGTGAATTGCCTGAGCCCGTGGGTTCGAGACCCGCCTGGGCAGCGAGACCTCATCTCTACAATAAATCAAAAAATCAGCTGGACGTGGTAGCGCATGCCTGTAATGCCAGCTACTCGGAAGGCTGAGGCGGAAGGATCGCCGGAGCCCAGCAGGTCGAGGCTGCGGTGGCCGGGAGTGGCCACCGCACTCCAGTCTGGGTGACAGAGTGAGACTCCCAACTCCAAACAAACAAACAAACAAAAAAACAAAAAACTCATTCCAGAATATGCACTCCCTTTACATTTGGTTTTAAATAATTCTTGGTTCCACTACTTGCAAGCTCTGAGATACTACTGATTCCATTAACTGCTGCCATTTATGGATTAACACCTATGTAATAGGTATTATATATGCTGGATACTTTACATCAATTATAATTTTTAATTCTTACGATAATACTCCTCAGCAAATAGTATTGTTATTCAGATTTTACACGTATGGGAACCTACATGTAAGTTACACAGATCACATACCCAATTATTTGAAGTCACATAGCTGGTTAAGGTGAGGAACGGACATTTGAACCTCAAATCCTCTGGACTTTAAAGCCTCAAGTTTTTTGTTTTGTTTTGTTTTTTGAGTTGGAGTCTCACTCTGTTGCCCAGGCTGGAGGGCAGTGGCATACTCACCTTCTGGGATCCAGTGATCCTTCCGCCTCTGCCTTCCAAGTAGCTGTAACTACAGGTACGCACTACCACACCCAGTTAATTTTTGATTTATTGTAGAGATAAGGTCTTTCCAAGTTGCCTGGGCTGGTCTCAAACCCATGGGCTCAGGCAATCTACTTGCCTTTGGTCTCCCAAAGTGCTGGGATTACAGGCTGAGCCACCGAACCCAGCCAAGACTCAAGTTTTAACTACTAGAATTAGTTTAATTTTGAACAAGTATTTAAATCTCCTCATGTGATTTGGAGAAAGACAGTACCAACTTAAGTCTTTAGAAGGTATGAACAAGGTCAAATAAGAAGTGAAAAGCCTTCTCTGTTCCCCTTCACTTTCCTATCTATAGTGAGAAAATAATAAGGAAATAATAAGATGGTTTCAGTACCCGACATATAAGGAAATTGATAATAGTGCAGCTAGCTTTGAAGTGAGAATAATATTCTTAATTGGAATAGAGTATCTAGGATAAAATAAAAAAACTTACTATCCTTTATTACAAGACGAAATTGGTAATGAGACTTCTAAATGTCAGAACATTTATTTTAAAGATGGTCACTAGTACTTACTATTACAGGTAGATATTACACTATTACAATAGATATCACCATTACTATAGTGATAATGCTAAAGTGCTCTTAGTTATACTGAAATATATCACAGTAGATATAGAGGTTTATCAGAGGGCATAAAATTTTGGTTGCAAAAAGTTAGTCAAATATGTTTTTCACACCTGCATCATAATATAAAATACTTAAAGAGAATAAAAAACCCTGCAGATCCAAGTTCCCAGAATAAATAATAGAGCTACAAAATGAGATGAAAAGGTAAATATTTATTAGACTGTAAAGTGCTACAGTTATAAAATGACATTAAGATCTACCTTAAGAAAGAAATAAGAGGCATGAAAATTAAGTTATCAAACATTATTATTCCTACAAATAAATACATTTTTATTTATAGTTATATTTACAACCATCTGTCGAGAGAGATTATATAGTACCCAAGTCATCAGGCATTAGGGCATTACTATAAGTAAATAACTCTTTTGCATACTATCTATAACATTAAAGTTTCTAAAAATTCATTGTGGTTATTTGAGAAGAACAAGTCATGGGGATAGTTCTTCAGTTGGGTAAAACAAAAGTTATTAATTGTTTAAATCTCATTCACAAAGCAACTGTTAAACAGAGAGCAACTGATTTTCCACCTGAAATAACAGATGACATCCTGAAATTTCTGACAGTAATAACACAGGATTTTCAGAGACAGTTATGACTTCCTCAATAATTAAATTATTAGTGCCAAACTTTGAGTCACACAAGCCCTTATCTGTCGTGTCCATATAATCAGAGGGTAACAGTATTTTATGCCAATCAGAAGAGCTAGAAAAAATTCCTGATGAAAAATAAACAGATCTTCCACATAAGAGTATCTCTGAAGAAGAAACAAGGCAACATTTTGCTGTGATATTGCTGTATGGGAAGTAAGAGTTTCACAAACTTGAACCTCTCAGTGAAGCCCACTTAACTGAGTCCACTCCAGCAGTTAACTGTTTTTCAAGATGTGAAACACCTAGAGGTTATGATGGCTACATTGGCAGAGGAGGGGTTCAGTTTTAAGGTAAACTATTAAAGTGATAGAATACTTTAGAAAACTAGCTCTTGCTTGAAGGGACCCCTTTCCTAGGGAGGGTTTCAACGTATCCTAATGATTGGTGGCAGTGGGTCAAGGATGTCTCACATCTTTCAAAGAGTGAGACAGGAAAGATCTGTTCTCTTTCCAACTCAAAGTTCAAGTGTCACACCAGTCACTAATTTAGAAGGAAAATTTACTTATAAATTAATTGGGCTAGAGTCTAACTTGGTATAATGTATATTTTATGTGAAATATAAAATCAAAATATCAAAATGTTTTAAAAGGTTATAATGGTCCCATATATATACAAAAAAAGATTATGCTTTGTTTTAGTCAGAACTTTACTAAGAGTTCCTGTGCATCATTTCACCAACAATGGCAATGCTGAAATTGCATTTAAGTCACAAAATGAATATGCTTATAGCAATCTGCATTTGTAGCTGTCATATCTGTAATGATTTTATTCACAGGTTTAACTATGTATTTTCATTATCTTCAGTCATATAGAAGTGTCTTGGCATTTACATTCTATAATGCTTATGTTCCTCTTATTATTATATTGTAATTAAGGTATTAATTTTTAAAATGAATACAACAGATTATCTCAGGATAGGAACGGGAGCATTACAAAATATTATATTAAAAAGGCATTGGATATAAGAGGATAGACAACTCCTGTTTTAAAATTATACATATTGAAAACAGAATAAATCTAGTACTTTGCTGTAGTTGCTTATTCATACATCCATTTATTCATTCATTCTTTTGTTGCTTAATTATTTGAAGGTTTTATTTTTATATTAGAAAACACACAAATTGCCTGCTGACATTCTTATCAACTACAATCTTCTTACCATCTATACCTTACTTTGATCTTCTTTTTACATTTCATTTTGTCTTCCTTTTCTGTTAGTAGAAATAAAGTCTTTAACACTTCAGAAGTTCAGGCCAGGTACATGCAGGTTCCACTGGCTTCGATAAACCAACATAATCACAGACCCTTCTGCATGTCTTCCCTGTCATTGTATCTCTAGACTCAGTCAAAATAACCTTAGTTTTCTCTTCGGTCAATTTCTACTTGTACAGTTGACCAAATATTAAGACCATGCAAAATTTAAATCCTTAACTCCAAGTGTCTTATTTTTTGGTATACATGAGATATTTCTGTGATTATACATTCAGACATTCACGAATAAAAACTTGATATCGCCTAGGTTTTTTTAAAATGTCCTCTACTAAGATAACTTTATTTTTGCTATTAAAGAAACAATTTTTTTTAAAAAGCCAATCTTAGTATTTGTGATGAACTAATTATCACACACAAATTGATAATCGGCCATTTTGAGGTTATGCATCCCCTGCTTTCCCAGAATTGAAAATTCTAAACAACATTTCCAAGTATAACACAATTCCTCTTCCAGCTATCTATAATTTCTTCCTATCCTCATCCATCTGCTTGCTCCTCTCTGTCAGGAGAATCAGTGGCCAAAGACAGAGCTCCAATGCTATGGCACAAGGATATGCTTTAATTTATTCAACCCTTGAGAGGACAAGGGTTATAGGGAGAAGATGCCTAGCCCCATATCCACAATTCAGTATTCTGCTGTTAATCTTTCAACAAACAACAGAAAAAGAAGCATGCAGGAGGCATCCAGCTGTCTAAGCACTAGCCAAGGCCTTGAGATCTCCTAGTGTGGCTACTCTACAACCAGTGATCACCATCTATGTACCTTCTATGTGCTTTCCACATTTGGGTACATTTAAAGGGGCCACAATCCAGGTCACTTGGGTCCAGGATACTTTTTTTTTTCCTGTATCTCAGTTAAAAAGACTTTTGTGGGATATGTTCCACATCAACATACTCTGCTAGAGGTAGTGGTAGACAGCAGAGTCTAAAACATGGTAAATGCCCTAAAAATGTATGGCTTAGGGCAGAACCAGATATATACACATTACTATTCTATAGAACAGATAGTATGTCATATTACAGATCTTCAAGCAATTGATCAGAAAGACATTCATGTGAACTATGTTCATCTGAATATCATCATGAAGGAAGGGGCATTTGAACTGGACCTTGCAGGATGGATAATAAACAAGGAAATAATGAAATGGCTTTAAACAGTAGAATAATATAGTCTAATTTGTGATTTGGAAAGGTAATTCTAGCAATGATGCTGATGGTTACCTTTTACTCACAAATACAATAAAGCTGGTCACCTAGCTCCCCTTTCCTCAAAATTAAGCAATAAAAGAAAAATCAAAGGACTCTATCACCCTTGTACCATGGAGTCATACAAAATTATGCTTACTTAGTCAACAGATTTTGAGTAGGTGACTACTATGCACTAGGTACTATGCCAGACACTTGAGATAGGAAAAAAAAAGTCTCTCTTTCCAAGGAGTTCCTGTCAAGACAGACAAATATCAATCCAGATGATGGGCATTACAGAAAGAGATGAGACAAAGTGCTATGAAACTCAGTCTGGGTCTTAAAGGAGGTAATCTGGTGGGCCAGATGGGGGAAGAACAGAGGTTTATTTGGGAAATATCAGCTCATTCATGTTAGCTAAGCACAAAGAAAAAATGGAAGAGATTATATACAAAAATCACGTAAAGTGAGAAAAGACAGCAAAGGAAACTGTAGCAAGAGAAACCAATGTTTAGGAGACAGTGAGGAAGAAGAAACTAAAACGGATCAAATGATTAGAGAACCGAGAAGAGAATCCAGGCAGCATGGAAAATATAGTGAACGTCATCCAAGAAACAGGGAATGACCACTGTCAATAAATGCCAAAAAGGACAGATAAAATGATTCCTGAAGTGAATCCGTGGAGTTGGGGTAGGGGCTAACAGGAGTCATGAGCATTTCTGTGTGTGGGAAGGACTGAGTCTGACTATGGGGAAAATACTGGGAACAGACACCAAAGAACTATAGTCATTAGATCCTGGCAATACATATATTTTGACACATTTAAACTATTTTAAGAGTTGTAAATGATAATAAGAAAGGAAGGCATCAAGACAGAATAATGAAAGACAAAGTACCTGACAATCTCATTGCACTTTAACACTGATAGCAACACTCCTAATAACACACCATGGGGGTATTTCAATGCTGAATTTTAATTTTTACCTTGAGCTTGCGGGTGGCTAGATTTTCCTTTTGGCATTTGGCAGCTGTACATGAAAGGGTCCCAAGACCTTAGTAGGTATCAGCTAAACAGATGGTCAATGTACAAAGACATTCTGCATCTTACTTTTTTTTATTTCTAGAGGTCTTTAAAACCAAATGGTGTCATTAGAATGTTAAGTTTATTCAGCATTTGATTATTGGGGTAGTCAAGGTGCTTTAAAAGTTTTTTTTTTATCTTTTGGTATATTTGGGATGAAAGACAATAGAATATTTGATCCACTAAAGATACAGGAAAAAGGAAAAAGCAAAAAACAAAAAAAGTTCCCCCAGTCTTAAAGTTACTTTTTAGAATAATAATTTTTAAATCAACATTCTTTGTTCTTGTTAAATAAGTAGCACACAGAAATAAGGTAGATGGTGGTGGTGACAGAATACTGTTGCAAATCAAATTGCTTGTCCTTATAAACAAAGACTTTATCTCCTGTGGCAGCAACAGAGATGCCTAAAGCCCTGCACTATATTTTTATAGTCAATAAAGTAATCTAATTAATTTGACAAGCAAAGTCGTAGGAAGGCAATCGCGAGTGGTGATAACATGTATCAACACAGGAACTAAGGTAGAAGGGAATTCATAACAAGATGTTACAACATTATATGCCAGTGAAGTCTTGTCACAAATAGAGAATTTCTTAATATTATAACGAGTTTGAGAATCCTCAGCTGAAAATCACTTACCTAGCTCTTCATTTTCAATGACTTCAAATGTGGCCCAAATATCACCTTTTGTAGGAATGATATTTTTTATTGCTAATATATCATTAGTTAATTCTTCTGCTTCCATCACAGGAGATATCTGCAAAAGAAGCAATATTTCTTCAAAAGATATGTCAGACACAGAAGTAGCCTTCTACTAGGGCAATAATACTCCCTATGCACCATCCAAGGATATGCCGTTTCCTCCAGGTTTATTAAAGCTAGCTTGTCTGTGCGCATAGGGCAAATGTCAAGTTCAGATATTCTCTACAAAATGTGATATACTTTAAGTACAAAGAGATTACAACACAGACATAATCAGAAGAAATTTCTATTTTCTTGCTTAATGAGAAATCAGACCACTCAGAAGGGAAGAATGGAGCTAAGAATGTACCACAAAAGATCTTCACTAGACAGTGAATCCAAGAGTGTAAGTGCAAAACTTTTATCATCAGCTCTATAATAAAAAGTGCAAAGTGATTTGATTTATTCAGTCCAGGCCCTAAATTATACACATAATCGACTGCTGTCTGTCATGCCAAAAAGCCCCAGGGTTCTGGTAGTCTGTGATGTGCCCTGTATGCCAAGTGACAGATGGTAGAATCTCAAAGTATGCTGAGCCAGGGTTCCGGGGCTTACAGCAGAGTCTGCAGTGCCAGCCCGGGGCCAGCACTACAAGAGTCTCAGAGCCCTGAGGTCACTGCAGAAGCACATGATCTCTTCAGGGACTTCCAAGAATTTTTATTTGTTTCTTCTTGCTTTTTTGCCAGTTTTAAAAGCATGCTGACCAAAAGTAAGATGGTTTTCTTTAATTAGAATTTAGATGTATTGCTCAACAGAGTAGATGCCTTAAGCACTAGAATACTTCAACAGTAACTGGTTTTCATGTTTTCAGTACAAGTATGTCCCTATTAAAAAATTCTCAGAAAAGGAATGTGTCTGTTTCCATTTCTCCTGTCCATTATTGCACATAAGCATACTGCACATTTACAAATTACAAAAAAAAAAAAAAAAAAAGAACCTTTCACCACAGGTAGCTAACCAAGTTTATCTTCTGTATTTTATGGAATCCAGTGCTTTTTTGGAATATAGCAATTATACAATGAAATCCAGTGTCTTCTATTTAGAAAAGCCCAATGAAATATAAACATATAAGTAAAAAGGAACTAAGATTTTAGAAAACTGAAGAAATTCAAGCAGTACAAACATTTCAATGATGCTGTTGATCTGGAGGAACTTAATGATCTTTTAAAGAATTACAGTCCTGCCAGGCTCGGTGGCTAGCCTGTAATCCCAGCGCTTTGGGAGGCTGAGGTGAGTGGACTGCCTGAGCCCATGGGTTTGAGACCCGCCTGGGAAACTTGGCGAGACCTCATCTCTACAATAAAATCAAAAATTAGCCAGGCGTTGTAGCGCACACCTGTAGTTCCAGCTACTTGGAAGGCTGAGGTGGAAGGATCGCCGGAACCCAACAGGTTGAGGCTGCAGCAGCCAGGAGCGTGCCACTGCGCTCCAGTCTGGGTGACAGAGAGATTCCAACTCAAAAAAAAAAAAAAAAGAATTACAGTCCTTTCCTAAAAAAAAAAATTAAGAATAAATTACTGAGAAACGAAGCTTGTCAAATAGGCAGCAGGAAATGCCATGCCTCAATTTGAATATGAAGACCAGAACTCTGTTCCCTGCCTCAGGAGAGACCAAAAGTTCGTCTTCTGAGCATGTTACACTTTGGAAATTACTACTCCATTGAATAAACAAGTTGGTATAATAAACATCAGGTTTGAATTATGATGACTCAGGTTTGTATTCTAGTCTTAATGTTTGTTCCTAATTCTCAGTTTCCATTCCTATAGACTTGGAATATTACCTGCTTTATCTACCTCCATGGGCTGTAGTAATCATTAGCTGAGATAAATGTAACTAAAGGGTTTTGCAACATCTTAAGTATTAAAACCAATGTTAGTAATTATTTTTGTTTAGCTATTTTTTTAAAGAGCATTTGGAGTTTGTTATAAGTGAAACGGAAAAGTCCTTCATCCAAATACACTTGGTAACGTGGAAATTTTGCTCAATTGTAATAGCTTCTATTATAAGTAAAATTAAAATGTGCTGGGGAAGAGCTTACGTGTAGAGTTAAGTTATGTGCTTTGAATACCTCCTGTAGAATTAATGGCAAACTTGTGCTGATTGATCTGTATTAGTTTCTCATGTTCCTTATGATCAACATCATACATTGAGCATATGAAATATGAGTAGCCAAGAAGTGGCAAGACAAATAACTCATAAGGATAAGGACTATGATCATAGTATTTCAGCTTTATGTTCTCAGTTAGGTGGCTATGGCCATATTGTCATAATATGAAATCATGCACTTCTACATGTAGAAATATATAACTTAGCAATCATAATATATTTAACATAATGAAAGTTCAGAAATATTTAATGTTTTAACTCTATTTAATCTTGGTCTTTAAAAAATAAGTAAATAGCTGGGCACAGTGGCTCATGCCCGTTGCCTATAATCCCAGCATTTTGTTGGGCAGAGGCAAGAGGATTGCCTGAGCTCAGGGGTTTGAGACCAGCCTGAACAATATGGTGAGACCTCGTCTCTACAATAAATCGAAAAATAAGCCGAGTGTGGTGGTGGACTCCTGTGGTTCCAGCTACTTGGAAGGCTGAGGCTGAAGGAGCGGCTGAGGCTGAAGGAGCACCTGAGCCTAGCAGGTGGAGGCTGCGGTGGCCGTGAGTGTGCCACTACACTCCAGCCTGGGCAACACAGTGAGACTCTGACTCAAAAATAAATAAATAAATAAATAAATAAATAAATAAATAAATAAATAAATAGTAAATAAGTAACTAAAGCTGAATCTCTGTTACTCAGCACAATGTCTATTTCTCATAGAGAGAAAGTAATCTTTCCAAGCAATAACCTGAAATATCAGTTCCTAGCCCTAAGCCAGATTAATTGCTGAAAATGGTAGCATGAGAAGGATCTATTTTTAATTCAGCACAAATGATCAGTATTCTCAAGGAAGAAAAGAGTTATTCAATATTCAAGAGTAAATAGAAAGATTGGATGCTAAAATATAGAAAACAAGGGTGGGAAATTATTTATAATAACAGCATTAGTAGTAATAGTTATTTGTAAATACTTATGCACTGAGCAATTTGCTAAGTGTTTTATATGCTTGTCTTATTTAGTCCTCACACCAAAGCTATGATGTAATACTGTAATTTTTTTCATTTCGCAGATAAGAAGATTGAGGTTCAGACAGGGCAAATAACTTGCCTAACATTAAACTAGGAAGAGGAGGAGCAAGTATTTGAACTCAGTTATTTTCCAGAGCCTACAGAAAATTCTAATGATAATCCAAAGCAAATAAGATGTTCTCTTTTCACATGATTAAAATGTAGAATTCTTGGAGGATATTGGTATAAAAAAGTCAAGCATCAGTCATTGTTTGAACTACAGAAAAAAACACAAAACCTTAGAAATACTGGAAACTTCAAAGTGTAAATTAACAACTTTTGTCATTTCCAACAGTACTCTTTGCATTCACCTTTAGGACTCACCCGAATTATAATACTACAGTCAGGTTCCTTCTTTTCCACATATACTTCAATCAACAAATCTCCAGCCTGGGAAACCTAGAACAGTACAGATGTAAAGATAACACACTTAAATATGTCACACATATGACACTTAGGATAGTTATAAAGCCCTAGTCATATTTCTCAATATTTTTTTAACAATGAAAGGAGTTCAATTCCTCTGTTTACAAGCATGTTGTACCCATTTCCAGATATGGTTGATTAAGGAATCTACATGAATGTTATCATCAGCAGTAATAATTACAATGAGATCCTTTTCATCTCTTACACAAGAGCTCAGTATACTCAAATACCCTTACCTTCTTATTGAAATAATGAATCTGGTTATAATGAAAATATGCTGACTTCAACAACTGAAGTTATGGGAGCCATCAACATGTATATTAATAGGATAAACAAAATGAGGAATGAAAATAAGCCTCATGCAATTTTGCTTTAAGCTATAATGTATGCGACAATATCAATAATTAAAAGGCAAAATAGATCTTGCTAAATTTTCAAAGAGAAGATATTTCCAAAAATTGAACTTTGAGGATAAACTAGGTCAGAGCTGTATTAGAACTACAAATAGAAAAAGCAAATTTAGTAAGAAAAATAAAAGTGAAATGCTAGAATAAGGCAAACAATAAAGATAAAGCTTTTATTTTAATTATCTTTGACCAAGCATTAAGGGCTAATTTAGGTCATTAGTATATCCCAGAAGACATACTAAGTGAAGAAGATACAAGTGAGAAAACAAAAGGGTGTATCACTTTGTAGAATGATAGTATAAAGTGAAGAAGGTTAACAAAGAACCATATGAATCTATGAAAAAATATTTTGAGTAGCTTTTTTCAGAAATTCCCTTAAATTATGTAACCACTCAGAAACAATATCCATCAACCAAGTTTTAGAACATGATCAGAATGAAGAAATAATCATTCTCAAGTTAAATTTGCCTCAGCATAAAATCTAATGAGTAAGTTTGTTGGAAAACATTAAAAATGTATTTTGAAGAAGTTCCTTAATTATTCTGGCAACACAGGCTTAGAAAAGCTTATTTTCAATTTTTCTTCCTCACTTTAAATGCTACACAAGTATTCTAGGACAGACAAGATACAGTTGACACTCTTGCTTTCTACTATGTTTGCATAAACAGCTCTCCAGGAAGGACACATTTTAAAAATTAAAAAAGCAAACACAAAGAATTCACAGAGTGAAATAAAAAAGAATAGCTAAGATATTCAAACAGGGGTAAGACAAAAAGAATGTCAGGAAAATACTCCGGAGGAGTGTTTTGAATGGCTTAGAAGAAAAACTCAAGCAAAAGAACAGATTTTCCCAAACTCTTCTACCTCTCTTTTCCAATTAGAAAGTTTTACATATGATTCATTTCTTATGTTTACTTATGCAGGAATGAAAGTATTCAAGACAGGGTTCTTTATTGTAATATGAATAAAAAGGATACAAATACAGAAGGATCCTTATACTTTCTAATTACAATATAGATAATGCTGCCAAAGATGACCTCTTGGACTGACACAGTCCTTTATTTCATGACTGAATCTCCCCAAAAAGTGAAAATTTAAGAGAATTGATAATGAGCTTGGCATTTTACAGTCAAAGCTAACTCCTCTGAAAGCCACATTGATTACATTGGGTCAAAATGGAGAAAAGAATTTGTTAAGTAATATGATACTGGTACTGGGGAGACATAAGCCATCCCTCGTTTCCTTCCTATGGAATGAAAGCCCTGATGACTCCTCTAATTAGTAGTGGATGACTGAGGAGAATTCAGAGTCCAACTAACAAAAAAGATTTGCCTCATTATCTGAGTGTGTCTGTAAACAGAGTACATTGGACCCATTTCTATTATTTACATTAGTATCCTAAATCCACTATAATGCCTAGTTATCAGAAGATGCTTAATGATCAACCTTAAGAAATTCCAGTAAATATTCACCAAACAAGGTAATGTAATCTAGAAAAGCCCAGTGCAACCTAAACACAAAAATCCAGTATAATGAGACTGAGGATAGCAAGACAAGATATAGAAAAGTTGACTCAAGACAAAAATTAGTGTGTGTTACACAAAGATCACGTAAGAAATATTTTATTAATACAATCATCTGAAAGCATGCAAAGCGAAAGCATATAAGTAATCATTTATATTTTCAAGATCATAATGGAAAGAATCATTAAGCTGTCTGGATTTTCAATTTTCTCTAAGTATAAATTTGGCTTTAAGTGCTTCCTTTGAAATCCACTGGCATTTTCAACAATGTTTTTATAAATAAATATTGATTTATACAGTCAATCTTGATAAGTAAATTAAAACTTATTTTTCCCTCTATCTTTCAAAAATTACATTAACATATTTTGCATGTATGTATCAGGATGCAGAATTACACAGCTAATTTTTAGTTTTCTTAGAATTTTTTCCCCATTACTTTTATTTTGCTTCAAATAGGAACTTGAAAATACACACAGAACATTGTCTTTACTTACAACAGAAGTTTCTGTTTTGTTTAATTCTTTGGAGATCTAACTATTACTACTCACTTGAGTGTCTTTCCACTTGGTAATAAAACTATTTTCTATGTCCATTTGTTTGACTTGGTCTTCTTTAACCTGTTTAAAATATAATTTGGGACATTCTAATAATGTAGAATACAAAGCGTGATGGCACTCATTCTCATTTATCTCTTCTGGAATTTAAATATCAACAAGTTAAAAATAAATGTGAATGGCCATCTTAATCAGCATGGACCCACACAGCTAGGTCAGAAATAAAATCGACAAGATAGAGTGTTGTAAAGTTCAAAACATTTAATGATGATATTACTTCAGGCTGCAATTACATCAATGGAAGCCCTATTGTTTAAGAGACTTAACAAGCAAAGAAGCTGGTGACTAGTTTCTTTATATTTATATAGGTTGAGAAAGTTTCTTTATATTTATATAGGTTGAGAAGACTAATTTCTCAAGCTGAAATGTTCATTAGGTTTTTATGAAATTTCCACCATGTATGTAAAGTTAAATTTAACATGACTATAAAGGTGACTATTTTTATTAATGAAAAAGTACACAAATTAAAAAAAAAAACAAAGAGAGCATGCAAAGCCACACATTTTTTTCTAATTATTTATTTTCTCAGCATCAGATTATTGGAAAGAAATGAATATTGATCAAAAACAGTAGACACACATAGAAAGAAATAAAGAGGAGATCAAAGAGCAAAGAAAACCTAACAACTCTGATGTCCATTCCTATATGAATTAAGATACAGACTGCAATATTTTAGTTTATTAAAATAGTTCCTTTTTCTTTGCTAAGTAATCTTGTGATAAGTAATTATAATAAGAATGTACGAACTCTATATACGGTGACCTATCACACTAACCTACCTGGTTTCATCTGGCATGTCCATATCCCTAGAAAACAAGTGGCCTTGTAAACACCATTTAAAGAAATGCTTAAAAAGGTTAAGTGACAAAACTGAGAAGCTAGAATTAGTTATGTGGTGGAAGTGGACCTTTGACCCAGATATGCCTATCTGAATCCTGGGCTTATTTCCTCTATATTTACTTACTTGACTTTAAAAAATTACCTTTATTACAGCAGTTGTTGATGAAACATGAAAATGTTAACTTTATAAAACAGCATATTAGAAATCAAATAAAACAGATGACTTAGTAAAAACCACAGAATAATTATATTTCAGAATTTTTTTTTCCAATTGAGGACACAATTAAAGAATGTTTTCAAGTGCAGAATTTAACAGTCTTGTATTTATTATTGAATTGCTAAATTCATAACTTCATACCCCTAATAGACGAAATTTATACACATATGAGGAGAAATAAATAGAACTATTCTGTCCAATGGACATAAGACAGGAAAAAAGCTTTAGAAATGACCAAATTTAAATGAATGACTATAGCTTAAAAAGTTAGTTATATTTACAAATATTTAAGAAATATAACTATTCTTTATTTTCTCTATTTCTAAATATTCATAAATACTTAAATAATAATATTTTAAAATATGCAAACAGTAACATTTGCAAACAGTAACATTGAAACCATTTTTAAAAGGGCAGAATATAAAGCATTTACCTCAAATATTTCTACAAAATTATTGATTAGGTCCTCAATTACATTCACTTCTTCACTAGTTTGTCCCTTCGTTTGAAACAAACAGGATGAAAAGACCAAGGCCAAATTATGGGCGTTCATGTGATTGATCTCTGAGCATTTCTGAACCCTGTCAGAGAAAAGCACAGCTCATTATGACATACTTCTATTTGCAAATTTTATAAAACTGAAAGCCAGAACACTGATTTATCACTTTTTAAACACAAATACTGAAGTTCTCCGATATAAAATTTACAATGATAATTTAAAGAAAAAAACACACGGTTCTTTCTTCCAAGCAGCTTATAGTCTACTTAAAGATGAAAAAAGTGCTATTTTGCTTTCTCTTTTGAGTTGGAGTCTCACTCTGTCACCCAGGCTGGAGTGCCATGGCACAGTCATGGCCACCAAAGCCTTGAACTGCTGGGCTCAGGTGATGCTTATGCCTCAACCTCCTAAATAGCTGGGACTACAGGCATGTCACCCCATCAAATATTTTTATCTTTTTAAATTTATTGTAGAGACGAGGTCTCACCATGTTGCCCAGACTGGTCTGGGACTCCTGGGCTCAGACAATCCTCTCGCCTCTGCCTCCCAAAGTGCTGGGATTATAGGTATGAGCCACTGTGCCCAGCAAAAAGAAAAAAAAAAATACTGTTAAAGGATTAGTACAAGTTACAAAGCAGTACTTTACTGTTGATTTAGAGGAAGGATTGACCAAATCTAAATAATTCTGAACTATGAAACAGCCTACCAGTCAAAGCATAAAAGTGTGCTTGTGGAACGTAAAATGACTTGTAGGACTGTAGCATAAATGGAAGAGGAAGAGGGGCTGGATTAAGTAGAAAGCAGGGAAAAAAAAAAAGGTGAATTGGTAGGTATGTAATAGAAAGTTCCAAATTCCAGGTTGAGGCAGGACTACATTTTTCAGAAAGTGCACATCAGGTAAAAAAAGAACACCTGGCAGCATGTGTCTGTGCAGTTATTCAAAAATAGGGTGTTATAAAAAAGCAGACACTTTTTAAAGGCAACTGTATTTTTCTTGAATATAACTAAGAATGGATTTTTATAATGAACAGATATGAACCAAAAAGTCAACTCCTCCAATGAGTAGTCTATAACCCTGGGGTCTTAGAAGAACATTTAAAGTAAACTGTTCACAAATGTAAGTATAAGAAGATTTTTAAAACTACAGCCATCACCCAAGGAAAGTTATATTGATGAAAATTCACTAGGTGGTCGCTATTTATTTGTCACTGACTGCATAGATAGCAGCTGCTCAATTGCCTGTTTAATTACATTTTGACATTTTTGCAATCCACACTAAACAAGGGATACCAAACTTCATCACAGGATTATAGTACGGCTAAGCTAGGCATTCTCATCTATGAAGAACACAGGTTCTTGTAGGTACAAGAGTAAGTGAGTAAACATGACTAATATATATAATAATGTAAGAAATTTGGAATAAAATAACAAGTTGCATAGCAGAGATGAAGCACGTGAAATCATCACACATGATTTAAAACATGCAAAAGGAATTGGAATTTATAGAGGAGGATATAATTATGGATATCCCTCTTAAAACAACTTCTGTTCTTCTGCTACATTAGCTGTAAACATCTGGAACATTTATCTGCATGCCTGCCTCTGTTACTAGAATCTAAGCATCTCATAGTTAGACACTGTTGTATTGCACTGTAGTGCATGATAAATACTTGGTGAATGAAATCAAGTGAATATCATGGAAGAAATCATCTTTTAGCTAGAAGAGGATTGGACCAAATGCTAAATCAACCTGAACTCAGTCACATTTACTTCTCAACCTATCAAACAATCCTGACGTTCTTGAGATCTCCTTCTGTAACCTTTCTCCTTGGTATTCTTCACCTCTCATGTCATTAGTTTCAGTGGCTGCCTTAGTTTTTGGGTCAAGTGGATATAATATAGTATTTCCTTTTCTTCCCTTATTTCTCTGCCCCAAGATGCGGGCCTTCCCAAGTGTTCCAGATTCAACCTTCACAGTCTCTTCTCATCAATTCTTCTCATCACAAGCCCAAGGAAAATTGTTTCCTAATTAGTTTCGCTGCCTCTGTGCTATCTGTTTCTAACCCATCCCATCATAGCAGTTATTATCCTAAAACAGATTTGATCGGTTACTTCTTATCACTTAAGGAATAAAATCCAAATGTTTCTGCATGACCTACAACACATTTTACAACTGCCTGCCAGCCAATTATAACCCCTCTCCCAGTATTCCCATGTCCTAGAAATTACCTTCCTTCATTTCTTACAAGTTCTTTCATGCACTGTTTTCATGTCCCTTTAAACCTGAAGTACAGAAGCATCCCTGGACATAGACACACAATGAGTCACTCAATTTCTCCTCTGCAATATCAAGCTTCATATTAGAAGTCTCTATATTAAAACTTGTCCCAACATCTCACAGGCATAGAGCTAGGACTATATGTAATGTGAACTCTCTGTGTATGGTGCAATAAGAAAAATCACTTTACAATAATGTTTACATATATGAGAAGTAGTGGTTGGAAAAGTAAAAGATCAAAGGAAAAGAAGATAAATAGTAGAAGATTTCTAAATGAAGACTCCAAATGAGCCATGTTTAGCAAAATTCAGCTTTACAGAAATGTATTCAAAGAAGTATTTCATCCACGTAGGAAGTGACAACAATGTATTTCTTAAACAAAATTTACACCTAAAGTTTGTGTAACAATCCTTTTTGGGATTTTATAAAATCTTTAGTTTTAACTTAAAAGGTTACTTTTAAGCATCGTCATCCTTCAGGCCTTATTTTTAAAGTCACCATTATAGTTTTCACATTCTTCCAAATGCAGGCAGACTTTCATGCCATGACACAGAAAACTGTTTTGGAGTTTTAAAATTTCCTCATCAGATCAATAGCCTGATACCAAAATATAAAGGTCAGGTAAGACCTTTATATTTTGTAAACTGATAATAAATGTCCCCCAGGAGAAAACATTGGGCTGTCACACAGATTCCTGTTACAGGATTGTGGTACTTCCTTTATTCTCCAGCTTTCAAGCCAAATGATTTTAACATTCTTGCTTATACATTGGATACATTTGAGGCCACTGTATATGATTATTTGATTCATTTAAGAAATTCCCAGTGCTGCTTATCTCTAAATGTAAACTTATTATAGGAAGAGGCTAAAGTGATCGTTCTTATGATATGATGAAAGATTCACAATCACATGTAGAAGAACCACACTACTTTAAATTTAAGAAATAATGACTCATTGAGTGCTATTTTTGAAATGCATAGAAAAGTTCATGAGTCAACTTACCTGTAAAGGTGTTCAATTATAGCTGCCAATGTTGCTCGGTTGACCCCTGGAAGAGAACGTATAAATGCTCCATACTTTTTAATTCTTTCCTTGTCATCTTGTGTATCTGGAGGGAAAAAAACAAAACAAAACAAAACAAAACCATCTTTAGGCCTAAACAAGTCATCTACATTATAAATTTATCTTTCAACAATATTTTAAAATAATCACAAGTGTATTTTAATGAGTAATACAACCAGATTTCAGTAGAAAGTAGTAATAGCCTATAACTCTGAAAAAGCATCTATTTAAATAAGCATTCCATTATAATTTATCATTTAAATAAAGGACTTTTAAATTGGGAAAGAAGATTTGTTGTTGTTGTTGTTTTGTTTTTGGTCTTTTACTTTATGGAATATTGAACTTGAATTTAACAGGAATACATTCAATTGATTACTCAACTTGTAGTACAAATTGATGAGTTAAGTCAAAAGTCTTTAATTCTAGTTATGGAAAAGTTTCCTTATTTATATTTAATACTGACATTCCTGATCTTTTTTTCTCAAGAAATTATAAAAATCTTTCCAAAGTTATGAACCATCCTTAAGCTAAGAACTGTGCCTTGCTCCTTTGATCAATGTATAGGGTCTTTTGCCAACTTTGGTACCTTCAAATCATTTGAAAAGATTAGAGGACAGTGAAAGAAGTCACATGCAAGTCTTAATAACTGAAATTCAGACTTAGAAGAAGAGGGATATTCTGCCTTTGTTGTGGATAGGAATTTGGTTCATGAAGAAGAGGATGACAAGGAATTACTCTTCACTCCCCTAACTCCAATAGGCTAAATATCTGGAGAAACTTAGAGACAAGAACACTCAAAGTTCTAGACTCTGTCTTATGTTTAGTAGTGGTTTGGTTTAAACTACAAGATGACAAGATCATTCTTCAAATAAATCACTTGTGCTGACTTGGTAACTCAAGGGGACTACTCTTATATATTCCCTCCCAATTCCCAACTACTCTTAAAAACAAGTCTGTTTTATTTCTTGCTTAGTTCTGTCTATTCTATTCACAGAAAGCCAGCAGCACATTAATGATTTTTTAAAGTACAGAGTCACTTGTAAAGGACATTGGAATCCCTGGGGATATAAGAAACTCTGTGACACATTTTTCAAGTACACTTCTATTCAAAACTGCAAGTGATATCTCTTTTGTACTGATTTAGCCTGCACATGAGATCTATAAACGTAAATACGTGCATATCGGCTTAAGTGTACTAGTAGGTGATTCTCTATAAGCACGAGGGGAAAGCATCCAAATTACATTAAAAAACCATACTGGAAATGAATGAAGAATTATTTACCATCCCCAGCATGATCCAAACATTTACCCTCGTGCCAGTCAGTTTCTAACTGTGAGAGTAACTGCATTGATTCCATAAAATTTACTTAATACTGCTACACTTACAACAAGGAGTCATGCTAGTCTGCGTATTTTCACATATGTTATAAAATAGGTGTTATTTTCAAAATAAAGTTAAGCAACATGGAAATAAAACTCAGAAAAGATATCAGGTCATATGGAAAATACAATGGGCCATTCAACCAGCCACAGAATTCAGACAACAGTATTCTTAGAAAAACAGATCGTGTATCATATAAATATAGATGTTATGCCACTGCAAGGCATTCTATGCCTTGGGTACAGCGGGTGCCAGAGATTTACTCTGTAGGGTCACCCAGGGAGCTCTAGTTTATCCTTTTCAGAGCTAACATGGTGCAATTTTGAAGAGTCTTGCTATACTGGATCTAAAAGCAAAGGACTTAAAGGTTATTTGACCTGGTATATAAGGACTTCTCCAAGCAAATTCTCAAAGAACTCACATTCAAGAGAAAGGTGAACACATTCCTTTCTGACATGCCTACCACGGCTGACTACAACCACCCAGTAGAGAGACAACAGTAAAGACTTCTCTGTCACTGAATTAGACAACTTTAGCAAAAACATATTTGTCACCTATTTTTGATAACCAATTTTACAATAAAGACAAATTATAAGTCTTTATAAAACAGAGATCCTACAAATAACTTGATAACTTACAATAAAAGCTTTTAAAAACAAAAATTAAGGTTGTAAAGTAACTGAGCTTAAAATAATGCATTTATCTCATTCCAGATTTTATAACCCCCAAAATTATACAATCAACTTTTCTTGTAATTACAGTTAACCTTATTGATTTGAAAAAAGTTACAAGCACATAAAAGGATTCTGAATTAAGTATTTAAATCATGAAAAGGTTTATTGTAATATAATAATACTCTTCTTGCTGACACTAATACAGGTCATTCTTGAGATAATTTTCAAGCTGTGGATGTTTTGTGACATCATTTCCAAATTATTCCTTTCAAATATGTTTTTTGTTTTAGATTAAACAAATTCTTTTAATGAAATAAAACTGCTCAACAGAGAAATATCACATAGTCAAACTCAAAAATCATTTTCCAAATAAATCTGGAAATAGATTAAATCTATAAGACAGAAATAGATGATTAATAATGGTATAATTCAAAAGTAAATTTTCAAAAATGGAAACAAAATAAAAATTACCACTTTGAAAATGTCAATATATGAGAAGTGTTGTGGTTATTAATAAAAACAAAGATGCTATACATATATGTATATATATATAAAAATTACAGGAGTGGAGAAAAACACTACAAAATAACAAAAACAAAACAGCTTTATTAGAAAATAAAAACAAAGTCAATGTTTATATTTAAAAGTCCTTATTATTGTGGTGTTTCAATAAAAGAAGTTGTTTTACATTAATGGATGTAAAAATAGCTTTTACTGAAATTAATTTGACCCAATGAGTAAGTTAATAAACTACTTTTCTAAGGTTATCTCTTAATTAGTTTCTCTTACAGTATAAAAACGCTTTTGTATTTCAGGGGGAAATGAAGTTAAGAAAATGTAAACGTATATATTTTTTTCTGAGCACTGAAGAGGTAGAATAAGTGACAGAAGATACACAAAATAGTTATATGTGGAAATCTTATAAAACAAATCTTATACTAAATTCTTCGTTTTATTTTTAAGATAAATTAATAGTATACATAGACTTTTTTATAATACTTCCAAAGTTAAAGCAGAGTAAGTACTAAGAAATCTACTGAAAACTAAGAACATAAAACACTATTTATCAACCATTATTTTGACTTCCTTTTGTGGTAGACAGAAATAGTCATTGGTATTTGCACAACTCTGTTTTAAGCCATTATAAACATTGCTTCTTTCCATTAAAACTTCAGTTTATCGAAGATTTTAAAGATCCAAGTACCAAATTAGAAGGCAGGTATTTATTATGTCCTATATTACATTTTTTACCTAAAGCGGAGATCCAATATGGATAGAGCTCCTTAGTGAGAAGTGCGTCGTCAATGTCAGAGAGAAAACTCTTCAACACACCGGTCACATCTTCAAGCTGATGTTTTCCAGCCCTCAACTTAAAGCTTCTTGCATCCTTTTTGAAACTCTCCAGGAGTTCACATATGTCCAAAGGATCACCATTCTTTTGATAAATATATTTGCATCCTAAACCTTTGATTAAAAAAAAAGTTATATAAAAATAGTCTAAAATCAAAATCGTTTGATATCACAAAAACAAAACAAGTGTTTGTGTTGGGTTGACGAGCAAGATTAACAATCATTATGTAAGAGATGATATAAATATGCATGAGATGAAAAGGTTCTTGCTTTTAATTTTAGAATTTAAAATGTAAACCTAATGAACAAATTTCCAGCCTCAGCTCTTGGAAAGTCCTTGATCAGTCCTTCCTCCTATTCTTCATAATACCTTTTTCAAATATCCTTTTACCTCAAGTACCCCATCTTTACTTAGTCTCCCAGAATACAAATTTGCCTCCATTTTTCACTGACAAAACTGAGGCTCTCTGGTATAAACTTCTTCCACTTCCTGCCCCTGTGTTATACATGAAGTTCTTTCTATACATTCTCATTTCACCTTCTTTCCAATGAAAAGTTAGGCCACCTCTTTTTCAAAGTTGCTGATTCATCGAGTGCCCCATATAAAAAAGAGGTGTAGTGATTAGGAGGAAGAGTGATGGTGATGATGATGATGATATAAACACAAAAATCTCCCCTTGCCTCCTCCCAGGCTTCTTGTCCCTCCCCCTTTCCTGGATTTATTCTTTCTACTGTCACACATTCTGTTATTCTTTAATCACACAATCTTGCTTCTGTGCCCAATCTCCACTCTTTTGACATCACCTTCAACAAGAATAGCAATGACATGCTTTCTAGATGTTTTTCAGTTTTTATCTAATAAGAACTTGTTGCAGCATCTGACACTTCATTTAATCCCCCCAAATTCTTTAATTATCATGGCTTTCAGGACACCATGATCTCAGATCTTCTTTTCCCTCTTCCCTCCTAGTCTTCTACTAATTCTACTCATCCAGTATTTACTGGGGATTCCAGGAATCCATCCTCAATTCCTCCTCACCATTTCAAAATTCTCTGGGTGCTGTCACCCAACCTCATCACTTCAATTACAACGTACACCTTTTCACCCAGGTTTTACTTTCTAAGAATTCATACATACACACTTATACATATGCATATACCATTACATGTAGGTGCAACATATACACTATACTATATGTATACTTATGGGCACACCAAAATAACCTAAAGGAATTAACTCTTCTGTCCTACTTACTGCCTCACCTTCCAATCCCAACATGTTTTCTTGTTCTTTCTCCTCAATATATGGTATTACCTTCTCTCCCTAGCCCCTTACAAGTTAGACTCTTTCTTACTCACCACATTTTTTAAAAATGCAGCATTACATTACATGGATTCTTCATCATGATCTCACTCTCAAAACCGTCCCCTTCTTTGCATCCACAAAATACTATTATTTTGTGCACTCAGTTTCTTACTACATATTCACAACTCCCTGTCCCTATTCTCAAGCAGCCTTCCTGTCTTTCTCAAGAGTAAGGGCAGCCTGATCTAATGAATACAGGTCTGTTGGTGATACCAGCAAGCTTAGTAATCTGAATACAGTTCACTCACTGCCTTTGAGATGTTTGAGGATTTTATTATGATACGTAAAATCCTACATGAGTTGACCAAACCTCCTACCTCTTACATTCACCTCTTCTTCTCACACTAAACTCCAGCCACATTTAACCATATAAAGTTCTCATAATTTTGTTTATATAAATTGAAATAATTTTCCCCAAGAATGACTGTAATTTATTTTAAAAAATTAAAAACCCTAAAAAGTATATTTGGAATCAGTCAGTCTCAAACCTTGACACAAGCAGCACAGAAAATTGGCCTTCAGATTTAAACCCAGGTGAGGAAGTTTAAAATTACTGTTACCATAAAAACTATAAGGCAACTACCTGCATTCTATAACCACTGGGTATTTTTAAAGATCATATCAAATCTTTCCTTCTATGTATGTTGATAACATTAAAGTTTCCTCCATGCTCTGTGCACTCATGTGTGTGCATATACACACATAAAAATCTTTCATTTGTTCTATTACTTTTACATGCAAGCGAATGTACCTTGTACTAGAGTTATAAGGTAGTTATAATGTATGAGATTCGGTTGAAAATAATCCAACACCACAGGGAAACCTCGAATTTTCCTAATAAAACATTACATTGGCTTCTCTAGAGCTAGTTGTGTTATTTCAATTATTTCTCAGCTTAAGAAAGACCCTATGCCTTTATGAAACTAGCATGATGTGAAAATTCCTAATGAGG